AAAACAGAACCCTGGATTCCTACTCAGCACCCCTCCCTCCAATAATGTACCCCAGCTTTAACCCCCATGGTGGAAATCTAGAGGCATTCTCAATTTAGCCCCTTCGCTGATCTTCCCATCCAAATCTTACTGGCTTCACACCCCAGTCTCATCTCCAATTTATCCACCTGTCTGCATCTCCCCCACTGATACCCTGGGTCGGCACCATCAATTCTCTTACAAGTGATGGAGCTGCCCCTCCTTCTGCTCTTCCTGCCACGACAATTCACCTACACAGCAGCCAGGGTTGTTCCACAACATAAAGCGAATCATGTCATGTCCCTTCTTAAAATCCAACCAATTTCTTTTCATTTTTCTTAGGCTAAAACCCAAACTCTCCACCTTGGCCTAAAAGGCCCTACATGATCTGCCCCTTCCCACTCCTTGCTCCTCACCTACTGTCTTATTCTTTACTCAGAGTTGTAGTCTTTAAGGCCCTTCAGCCCATAAAACTCTTCCCCACCTCCAGCCCTTTGCACGCCTGCCTGGGACCACATCCCACACACATCCAGGCACGGATACCTCCTGACTCTCTCCCTTTCAAGGCATGGAACTCCCTTCCTTGGGGAGATGCTCACTGAACATCCTTTTGGAAGTAGGTGCCTCGTGTTAATCTCAATAACTTTCTGTTTTCCATCAAAGTAATGATAACCATGTCTAAGGTCTCCATTCATATTTTTAATTCCTTATGGTCCGTTTTCTTCAACTACCCTGTATGATTCACAGAGCAGCAACCACATCTATCTTACTCACTGTTTTCTCAGCAGCTAACCAAGAATTTAACCATTTGATGAAAGAATGGATGAGTAAGAGGGAAATGATCAAATGAACGGGTAAATGAATACAAGAAAAGTCTTAGTAGCCAATGGCACAAGGAGGCGTGCACCAGCTCTTCTGTGTAGGAGACACAGACTGAATTAAAGACCCTACTGGGTGCTCCGATACGGGGGTGTATAGAAGAAAAGCTCTACTTCACAAAGAAACCAGGACTTGGGTTGAGAACACTAAGGGCCCCGGGCTCCTTCCTTGACTTCTTGCTCAGCTACTGATTCCTCTTGCCCCAGGATGAGCACGGGCCGACTGCCTAGACCCTGCCTCCAAAGGGAAGGAAGTGAAGCCAAGTCTCTCCAGCCACAGTCAAACACCTCCTTCCTCATTCTTCCCAAGGGGTGCCATGCCAGGGAGCTCCAGCCGCCTTCCAGCGCTGCCTCTCGGTGTAAAAACCCCTCCTAGGGCTGAGTGCCCTGTGAGTCATACTTGTGCTCTCTGCCACTCCGTGCACACGCTGCCTGCCCACAGCGCCAGCTTTTCATTTGGAACAGGATGTATCTACTGGCATCACAGCCCCCTGCCAAACCTTGTTAATGCCCACATCTGTACTTTTATGAATCAGGTCCGAATAATATGCATGTTTTCAATCTAAAAAGGCTTACTCCTTTCTAGTGGTTTTAGAAATAAAAACGATCTTGTTCTCTATGTCTGCTCAGTTATGAGAGTTCACAGTAAAAGCTGGACCATTCACATGTCAGGGCAGCTGTGGCACTAGGTCTCCCAAGGTGACTTGATTTGGTCCCTCGCTGCCCCACCTCATTAAATGTTCACAAACCAAAGTGCCTCTTGGGGGGGGGCAAGGAAAGCACCTCCATTAAATGGAAATGAAGAGTTATTTGCTGACACAAATGATTGCCACATCAAGTGGATTTTCCCGAAAGAAAATAATGGAGAATTAAGTAGCCTGCTTTTCCTGTATTTTGCAAAGCAAGATTAAAAAAAAAAAAGCAGTATGGGCTCTAGGAGCACATTTCACAATCAAAAGTGGGGGTTGGGGTGGGGTGAGAGGACAGTGTTTGCAGGGGTGCCCATGAGGGCCACAGCGTGCTGCAAATGTGGTCCCAGGGACTCTCTGCAACAAAGCCACAGCAATAAGGCAGGCAAAGGTAAGTTCTAGCCTTAAGAAAATGGGAGTGGGGATGAACCAATAGAAAGGGGGATAGAGAGAAGCTGGAAGCAGAGAATAGGGATGCATGATGGATGTAAGCAGTGCCGACTATGTCATCTGTAGGGCCCAGTGCAAAATGAAATTGTGGGCCCCCTTGTTCAAAAATTACTAAGAATTTCATAACCCTGACAGTAGAACATGAAATCATCTAAGCTCGGGGTTCTGTGGATTACACAGGTTACACGCTGAAAGTGCTGGGCTGGTTGTGAGGTTTGGCGGGGCAGGAGGCTAGCTCTAGGGGCTGTCAAAACTCTTTAGAAAAGCAAACTTTCCCCAGTCCACTTTGCTCTCAGAAAACACCACCTTTGAATGATCACAGTGAGACAAATAAATCGTGCCTGGACTAGAATCTAGAAGTGGCAAAAAAGGGAGGAGCTGTCAGGGTTGTTACGTTAATTCCAATTTGCTGTCATTTTTGCAGCAACTTTTCCTAAATTATGATTCATTTCAGCACCAAAACACCAGAGTCAAGTCAGGGCTTTCTGATGCTATTAATAAGCACATTACTGATGCTTAGTAAAATAACTTCTTGTCATAGTTCTTTTTATAAGGGCCATAAATCAAAATATTCAAAACAGTTAATTTTTAATGTGCCACTATTATCCATCCTTACGTATAAATTTAACGTCTCCTTAGGCCCCACAGATTGTAATGTGACTCAAAACATGCGACGGCTGTTCAAAACTAGAAAGTTCCCCAGTATCTCTTTATTTAAGTCCCTAAGATACAGTTTTAAAAGCCTGAAGCTATCTGAGCAAACTTGTTTAAAGGAGTCATAAAGAAAGATAAGTAGTTTTCCCCAGAAGCCTATAAAATTTATTACAACATATTAAAGTAGGATTACATATTGACTAATTTTTAGAAGACGTTTGTTTTCTGGGGGTACATGGTAGTCAAGGAAATTCACAAAGGAATAAAGGGGGGAGGAGCTTAATACCATTGTCTCCTTTTGCCTTGAGCACAGCAAGGTTTTTTATGAGCCTCCGCACCCATTCCACCCTGAGCATGACAACAAGGTTCCCGTATCAGGGGATGCCCGGTGGATGTTGTGAATCTTGTGAAAGAGCAATAAAAACCTTTATTATTCAGGAGGAGACACGAATGCAGTCCAGCACCCTAACACTTATGATGGCAGAGGCAGCAGCTTTGTAGAAAAGCCCCACGTGAGACCCTACGTCTCAACACCCCTAGACTCTCAGAACTTCCTTTGCCTCCCTATTCCACGCATGTGGTGGGCAGGTTTCACACGTTTGCTTTTTAACATTCTAAAGCCTTTTCTTCTCATTTAATATTGTTTTAGGCCATTTTATACTTTGATTAGCGTTTCTATGTGAGTAAATGTCATATTTCTCTTCGAGTTTGCCCCAGACAAGGAGAGAGGCTCTCAGACAGAACCTCAAGACCTTTTCTGGTTTCCTCACCTCCTCATGCTGACAAACTCCCCTTTGGAGCTGCTCTGCATCAGAAAGCATTCATTCCAGTGCTGTTTTGCCCTTTACCCAGGAAAGAGAGAAGAAAAGGAGATACTCTGATGAGACCAGGAAGCAGGTTCTATTGGCAGCCAACGGATTTGGCGTTACATCTTTACTACATGGAAAGAACTGTATCTGAAACGCCCCCCTCCCCTCCCCCCGCTTATTCCTGGTCAGATGGGAGAAAGTAATCTGACTCATTGGTGAGACCTACAACAGTTCAACCAGGCAATGACATGCACCAATGACATGCACCATGGCACTGACACCCATAGGCAAAACACACCAGTTACTGTTTTATAATTCACCCGGAGCACGACTGCCATGAAATATGAAGGCAAGACTGGAGGAAGGGCACACCTGTTCAGTTATCCCAAGGAACTGCCTCTCTCATCACAGACCTACTCATTCTCCAGCACTGTGACATTTCACGTCTGTCCCAGAAAAAGCACTGCACACTGAGTACTTTTTTTGACCATCAGAAATCACCACGGTACACAGTCTACCACTTTCCTTTGTTCAGAACAAAATGGCATGTGCAATGCCATCAAGTTCAACAGCATATTCAATGTCATCACAGGTATATTTCACTCCAGGGAGGCTGTGACTGTGTTAAACAGCCTGTGGTATCCTGGAGAGAGGTGATTCCCCGCAGCAAAAGTCGCTAGGGTTCAATGTTCCATTTATAACAGTGGCAATTACATGCACCACCATTCCATTATAACGCAGATAGAACAGAAATAAAGGATGGGCTCTTAGTTGCTAAAAGCCAACTTTTAAAAGAGCAAAACCCTCTGAAAAAATGCAGTGCATGAAATTTATAATGCAATACTCCGTAGAAGCACAACTGTAAAAGAAAAATAACAGATACAATGCCGCTGAGACCTGACAATATTAATATTTCTACTCTTATTAATTCCAAGAGGTATAGTTACCCATTCACCATTACTATGCTTTGATGCTGCTTTCTTCAGAGCTGCCATGGAAGAGACAGTACAATCCATTAAACAGGCTTCTTAGAGATGACAGTTTCAGCTCCACAAAGACATATACTTTTATTTTCCTTATTCCTTGCCAAACATTTGACACCATCAGAGGGATGTGAGCGTCACACCACACTGGCACATTTGGCAAAAGCGAGCAGTGGGCTGAAAACCACGACTGGAGAATTGTGACAATTTGAGTCCACAATCATGCCCTGAAAAGTGTGTATAAACCCTAGCAAAGGCATAGATTACATCTTAAATAACAAAGAAACATTTGAATCGTGCTCAACCCAGCCCCAACAAGGCAGAGCCATACCATGGTTTTAGGGTGGCTGGGGGATGGGAGTTGGGGGGGGGAGGAGGGGCTCTTGGGGACAGTCACAGGACACAGAAGCAGACACAGGGCACAGTCACAGACATCAGCGAACACAATTGATCACGCACACAATACAACACTAGAATGCAATTTTTTAAAGAAAAATGATATAAAAGATGGTTTCTCACCCCTCAAAACAAAACTGGAACTTTGGTTTACAGGCCCGGCTATGCCCATATGCCCTCCTCGTCATCCTGCGGCCGCCGGCCCGGGGAAGGGAGGTGCCCGGAGAGGAGGGGAGCACCGGAATGAAAGAAGAGAAGGTTAGTTACACCGTGATGCACTGGGAAGGCACACTGATCTTCACTTGGTTTTTCAATCTTAAAGCACAAGAAAAAAAGAAAAAAATCCATATTAACTTAAGTTCCACATCACCGACTTGTCAAATCCATTACTGAGTTTTGCATCTAGGGCAACCCCCACACAAAAACATTCCACCCACCCAGCCCTGACTCTGTGTCAAGATTGGATTAGAAGATTAAAATTAGTCTACATGAGCAGATGATTATTTTTTTGCAGAGCATGCAATCTGAATTGCAAATGCCTAAGGAGGAGATTAAACCTTTTAAGTAAGCAGAGAAGTAATTACAGTAATCAAATACCCTTAATTTCTCTTAAGCTTAAAATATCAATAAAGGCTGAAGAAGCATTAAAAAAAAAGATCGACTTGGGTGGAACAAGCTTCTGTAGCATGCAATAAGTCACATCGGTTATTTCTCAAAGGCCCAAACACGCTGTGATCTCCGTTTGTCAGGTTCCATTTTGCTCTCTGCATAAAAGGGGATGTGCACGCTGTGGAATGAGTATACATTTGCAATCAAATAAGTTTAAAGAAAGTGGAGTAAACTTTCAATTCAGTAGCATGCTAGTAGAAGGGAAATGCTGTTTAACTTAAAATTGTGTTCCACTGTGGATAACCTGAAACTTATTTGGTCTGAATCCTTGTTGTTGAAAAGATTTCCTGAATGGCTCTGGCCACGTGAAGTGGCAGATAGGCAGGGAAATTGAACCTTTGAAGACAGAAGTATGTCCACCATCACAAGGTCCTGGTTTGAACAAGAATTCTCGCTGTTTACTGTAAGGATGGAAAGAATGTGTAGAAGAAGACTGGGTGGTTCATATCCTGGCCTCACACACAATTTGGGAGCTGTCTTAATAATTACTGGATGACACCAGGTTTTCCCATGATTTGCTTCTTTGTTTTAAAAATCAGGACTAGGGAAAATAAATATCTTGGAATATTTTTTTCACGATTTGGATCCTCATGGCTTAAGTTGTTAGCGATATTAAGTTGAGTAATACGAAAATGCCAATAGATGACCATTTTTGATCTAGAAAAACAGCAGTGTCATACAGTTCAATCTAATTCTGCCAATAGGCAAAGGTAATTTTCATCTACTCAAGTATTGAGGTCTGTGATCTTGAACTGAATTTTCATATAATTTGTTTCCTTTGTGTTTCTTTGTATTTTATTTTATGCATTGAAAAAGGTTATTCTGAGAAGAGGTTCAGAGAGTTCACCAGGTTGCCAAAACTGGTCTACGGACCCCAGAGGGCTAAGAAGCCCCGACTGATGTCGGGCGGGAGATTTGCACATGGTCTGAATTGGACAGCGTGGTATGAATTTGCACTTGGTAATCTAGATAGGATATTCCGGCAAAAACAAAAAAGGTACAATTGGTCATTTTCATTGGGTTTTCTCATGTAAAATGTACCTGTGTTGATTTATCTCTGCACAGTCTAGTGCTGGCTCCTGGCAATAAACTACTCTTTTCCCTGCGTAATTGAGAAACACGTATTTTTTTGCATTCCTTAAATTTCCTTTCAGTTCCTGGAGAAAAGCACAGTTGATGTCCCTTTTTATGCTAATAAAGAAGGAAAGTCTACAGCATGGCATCCACAAATGGGTTTCAAGGGGTTTAGGAAGCCATTGAAATTCAATGCAGAACACTGTGGGTATGTGTGCAAGTATATTTCTCTGGATGGAGGCCCGAGCTTTCATCATAAAGTTCTTGACCCCCGGACTCACTGCTATAGGAAAACTCTAGGCACAGAGAAATGCTATGATTTGCCAAAGTTACAAAACAAAATAAAAGGCTTTCCCTAAAACACAGCCTACAGCCTCTGCTGACGGCTTCTAAATGGCTGTAAAAATCACTTTCCTTGCAGAGCAGTTTATTTCATTTTGCATTTAAAACCCAATAGCATGTATACATTCAGTTGGTTTCAAATCCATTCACACAGGGTTTTAAATTAAAAAAAAAAAAAGAAAGAAAAAAGCCACTGCCACCAAAATCTACCACTATTTTCTTAACAGTGAAATGTGGTCTAATGCAAATCACTTTTAGCAAATTAAATATATTAAAAAGTGGTAATTAATTATGATTGAAACAGACAGGAGTTGTAGCTTGAAAATATACACTGCCAATATCACTACTGTGCCTCGTCCACCATAGGAATAAAAAGGAGCTCCCAGATGTCGAGGGTTATTAAAAACCAGATGTTGAGATCGATGTCTTATATGCTAGTGAATAAAGTAAAGAAATATGACAGTCCAATATAAACTCTGCTAACATTTAACATGGCAGAAATGTGGGTAAATTCCTTCAGTGAACTCAGAATATTATGCATTTTTTTCACGTTTTTAGTTTCTAAAGTTTTAAAGTTTTTAGAAGAAAATAGAAAGGGAAGTGGTGGCCATTTCTGGTCTCTAATCTTCAAAGCTTAAACATGAATTGACCCTAATCACCAAGTGATCTGGGTCAGAGTGAGTGTCTGCTTGGGGAATAAAAAACAAAACTGCAGGAGCTAATCAGAGGGGGAGCTCCAAGTAGTTCCAAACGTTCGCAGCTGTTTCACTCCTGCCACTGCCTGCATCTCTGGACGCAAATATTAATTTATTCAGCAACCTTACCACACAGAAATGCAAATTTGGGGACCAAAAAAATAAGAAACAGATAGATATCACTTGACCCCTAACGTCAAGTGATATCTTAGAACTGCCAAGTTACTTAGAACTACTTAGAGTTTTAAAATGTATCTCTAGGCCTGGGAGAATCTGCGTCCGCTCCTTGTTTGCCTGTTTCCGAAACAACTTTGCAGTGTCTTTTTCTGGATGCTGCCTGTTGTTTGCTCCCATGTGTATTTTTCTTGAGTGAGGCTATGCCAGGAGTTGCCAAAATCTCTGGATGGAAAGAAAGCCTCTCGTCCATCAGCCATCGAAGTGCTTCTTGTCCACAGCATCTGGGGATGGAAGATCCAAGGCGGGCTGAAGTCCAGGGCGCAATGGCCACAAAACACAGCAGATTTCGAAGAGAAGGGAGGCTCAACTATGAAATAACCTTAGGATATGTCTGTGGCTCCAGAGATGAGAGGAGGCCTTGAGGGCGATCCTACAGTCCCAGGCACTGGGCCCTAATGTGATTCTGTAAATGCTGCGATAATACAAAATTCCTCACCAGATGGGCCGCTCACAGGGCTATGCTAATGACAAGATGTAAGAGCAAAGGCTGAGGCATCGCTGACCAGACGGGAGGCTCGCTGTCCTGGGGGCCTTTATAAGCCCGGGCCAAGACGCTTTGGGAAGGAACTCTATCATCGGACATGATGAACGGCCCGGTGTAAACCTTTAATTGGTCTCCATTTTGAAGTATTAGGTACAGCCAATGGGCAAGCCCCGGCCCATCAATGGGTTTAAACAACAACAAAACACACACACACACACACACACACACACACACATGCACACACACACACACACACACGTGCAAGTCTCTTGGAGTTGATAGCCAGTTTTTTCCTTGAAATCAGAGGACAAAGTTCCTAAAGGGGACATGGCTGTCACACCTGTCCCAGCTGGAAATGAGAGTGAAATTATGGAAATGTCCCCTTCACATCAGCCTCTGTGAGAACTCCGCCGCTGTCTCTGTTGGCAAGTTCATCCTGGCTTCCTTGTGGGAAGAGATGCAAGGAGACTATCCTGGTTATAACAGTGTCTGGTGGGGACAGTCGCCAGACCTACCGCTGCCTTTGTTCTAGTTCATGGCTTCTCTGACGCTTTCTGAAAACTTCAAGCCGTAGGACTCAGCAAACATAAGTCACCAGAGCAGGACCACAGTGTGGGATTTATGACGTGCTCTGAACCTGGGTTCCACCAAAGTAACCCCTCATGGCACAGCCAACGGAAGGCATAGCCAGAACTGGGAAAGACAGACACACATGTAAAGGAAACCGATGGCGTGAGCCTGGAGAACAGGGACCCCGAGCCTCGTGGGAGAGGGGGGCACTAGTAAGTTTTCTCTCAGGATCAAGTCCAAGCCTCCCGGGGAAGACCTCCCATTCGTTTCTTTCATCTCTCCTGCTCCGGGAACATGTCTTGCCCTCGGATAGATGTCTTTGTTCAGGTGATGAGGTCAGGATCAGGAACGGCTATAAACTCTGACATGAGCTGTATTTGTTACAGCCTGTGTGGCCCATTTGCAGATAAGTTCCCCCAAAGGCTAGGAACATCCTATCCAGATTCAGATATCCAGTTGGCACTGTTTAAATATAAATGTGAGCTTATTTCTGATCTGGCTAGAACCGAGCCAGCAGGTATGAGCGCCTGCTCCACTTTAGAGAGAGTGTGACATCTTCCTGTGTTTCTTCACTGAGTCTCACCACAGCCCCATGACACAGGTGTCAGCAGGCTGTATGAGCAGATGTGGGAAGGAAGACTCAGAGAGAAAGTTCAGGTGGCTCACCGAAGGACATCTGGCCAGGAGTTTGGAGCCAGGGTCAAATTCCAGTCTGTCCGACCACAAAGGTATACCCTGCTAACAGGTGGGCGGCGCAGCCACAGAAAGAAGAGCACATTTTGCCCTCAGAAGGCATTTGTTGGTTCTGCTTAGCTCAGCTCTGAAGTACTTTGGACTTTGCACTACTTCTTTGCAAGCCGTTCAAGAGCCTGCTTGGAGCTGGATGACACAACTTAGGTTGGATCCCTCTGGCTCTTGGAAGAAAGAAAAGCTCACATGCAACAGCATGTGTCCCTTATATGGGCATGTTGTCAGCACCCAAACTAATGTCAACCTTCCTGAGGAAAAGGGTAGCACTTTCTGTCCCTTCACACTGCCTCCCAGTGTCTTGTCAGGTCTGGGAACTTAACAAATATTTCCAAATGAGTAAGTACGGAAGACTCAGTACTTGTTTCCCA